CAATGCAGCAAGAAATATTCTCTACAACTCTCTGGATGATTCCTTGTTTCCCAGAGTCCGAAAATGCAAGAATGCTATGGAAGTGTGGAATGTCCTAATGAGTTTGGGAGAAGGAGGCGAGCAAGAAAAGGACAACAAGCTGACAATGGCTATAAAAAATTTGAAGATTTCAAAATGCTGCCAAATGAATCAATCATGGATATGGAACTCAGATTCACCAGACTGATGGACGATTTATCAGATCTTGGGAAAGAACTTACTGAGAATGAAATGAATCTGAAGATCCTTCGTGGTCTACCAAAATCATGGGAAATGAAGGTTATTGCAATGAGGGATAGTCGAGATATGAAAACAACAAGCACGGCCAAAATTTTCAGTGATCTCAAAGTTTATGAGTTCGAACATGAACCCAAAAAATGCCGAAGATTCAGAAACAAGAAACATTGCTCTCATGGCAAATCAATCAGCATCAACATCCAACAGGTCGAAATCTAACTATTGTGATTTTTTATCTGACGAACAATATGCACTATTTGTCAGGAAAATGAAAAGGTTCATGAGAAAGAACAACTTTCAAGACCCACAACGATCGGGCCACCGAAAGAAGCACGAGAGCTTCCCTCAAACCTCAAAAACCGAAACCATGGACTCTCAGCTATTATGCTATAGTTGCCGAAAGCCAGGACACTTCAAGGCGAATTGTCCACATCCCATAGTAAGCAAACATCAAGATAACAATGCTACCACAAGTCCCTCAAAAGAGACTGGAGAAAGATATAAAAGAAGCGACAAACCTGAATCATCAAACTCCAGAAAGGAAGGAAGAAGGAAGGCAATGGTAGTAAACAAAACTTCTGACACAGTCGCAACCGAAAGTAGCTCCTCAAGCTCTAGCTTAGAAGACGAAAACACTGATGAGGAGAAGAGACTGCTGTGCTTATTCAGTCAAGAGTCAGACGATCTATGTCTCATGGCAGATGAAGACGAGGTAAATTCTCATTCATCCTCTTGTTATTCAGCTGAGTCGAGTTCTGTGAGAAGTCTTACCTCCAATGAATCTGTCACCGAAATGATAAGGAGGTTCAATGTGATAAATAGCACTTACTCCAAACTCAAGGAGGGGAACTCTCGGCTCATGCTTAGCTATAATGAACTAAAGCAAGTTCGTATTGAGAACAATGTGCTAGTCATTGCTAAGGAGCAGCTCGAGAAAGATGTTCTCGCTCTAAAGGAGCAATGCACAGCAAAAGAGAAGAGAGAGCAAGAACTGCTTGAAGTTTTGGATAAATTCAATAATTCATCCAACCTAATGGATAGAATGTTGAATGAATCCAGACTGCCTGGGGAAAGAACTGGAATTGGTTTTAACCCCAGCTCCTCTTCACAAGTCGAATTGAACAAATCCACGAATGCATATTCACACGAAAGCTTCGAGGTCGCGTTTGTTCAAGGACCCACCCAGGTGTCTGAGCCTATGATGGTAGTTAACAATGTCGAAACACCACAATCAACAAGCCAACCGAAAGGTACGGCTGTACAACGAATTGTGGAATCTGGAAAGAAGAAATCTGGTAATGGCAATCCTAGACAAATCTATGTCAAAAGGAATGGACCAAATGGCAATAAACAGAATCTACGCCATAAAAAGGGTCAGCCTAACTTGAACACTCAATCCAATAAAAAGACGAATGTTAACCAGAGGCAATATCGTCCGAAATTCACACGAAAGAATCCTGTTCAAGGAATCTCAAAAACCGGACAAATCAGACAACCTGAAAGATCGTTCAAAAGATCTGGGTATGGCAATGGATGGACTGGGCCATCAGAAGAAGATTGGTTTGATTACCCAGAACCTCTCCCTAGAGCAGTATTTGAAAAGGTTCATCTGCGTAAACAAACCAATCATCTCAAGCATTATGAAAATCTTCCTCAGGAAGATCAACGTAAGAAATATAATGCTAAAGTCTTTGCCAGCATCCATTATGATTATCGTACATCTAATGGATATAGAGGACCGAGGATGAGTCGTGGATACTCTAGGTTGATGTGAGTTCCAAAGTTGACTGCTAACCCCCAAGGACCCGAAACTAAATGGGTACCTAAAAACACATAATCTTTGATGCAAGAAAAATAGGTCATATGGTATATTGATAGTGGATGCTCAAGACATATGACTGGTGACAAAACAATGTTGAGCAACTTTAAGGAATTAGATGGACCCAAAGTTATCTTTGGAAGTGAAAATAGCGACAAAACTCGTGGAAAAGGGGACATCATCAACAAGGGAATAACAATTCAAGATGTCTCTTATGTTGAAGGACTGAAGTTCAATCTTCTAAGCACAAGTCAATTTTGTGACAAAGGATACAAAGTAGAATTTCTCAAAGACGAATGCAAAATCGTGAACACGAAGGATAATAAGACAGCTTTAACGGGACAACGAAAGAAGAATATGTATGTATTATCCTTAAATTCTTCTAATGCTAACGTTTGCCTTGTAGCCAAAAGTAATGCAGATCTCAATCAAGAATGGCACAACAAACTAAGTCATCTGAACTTGAAGACGATAAACAAGCTTGTCAAGAGAAATCTCGTAAGAGGGCTACCCGAAGCATCTTACACGAAAGATAAAATATGTGAGGCATGTCAAAAAGGAAAACAATTCAAGTCATCTTTCAAGTCAAAAGATGTAGATGCAAACTCTCGATCTCTAAGCCTTCTACATATGGATCTCTTTGGACCTGTTGATCCAGCAAGTTTGAGTGGAAGAAAGTATACTCTTGTTATAGTAGATGACTACACAAGATATACATGGGTGCTTTTCTTGAAAAAGAAGAATGAAACAGAAACAGCTCTTCCAAATCTTTTGAGACAACTTCAAACAGAAAAGGAGCTCAAAATAATACGAATAAGATCAGATCAGGGAACGGAATTTGTCAACAGAGTCATAAAGGAATTTTGTGCGCAAAATGGAATTTTCCAACAACTTTCGGCAGCACGAACTCCTCAGCAAAACGGAGTAGCCGAAAGAAGAAACAGAACCTTAAAAGAAGCTGCACGAATGATGATCTCTCACTCAGCACTACCTAAGAGATTTTGGGCTGAAGCCATAAACACGGCATGCTATACACAAAATAGATCCTTGATCAACAAATCTCACAACAAGACACCATATGAGCTATGGAAAGGTAAAACTCCTAGTATCGGTTATTTTCATGTCTTTGGTTGCAGGTGCTTCATACATAACAACGGAAAGAATCATCTAAGAGCGTTTGATGAAAGAGCTGATGAAGGGCTATTCATGGGATACTCCTCTGTAAGCAAAGCATTCAGAGTTCTAAACAAGCGAACAATGGTAATTGAGGAATCCATTCATGTCAAGTTTGATGAACAATCTGAGATGAACCCATCTGGATGTAAAACAGAAATCAAGTCAAATCAAAATCCTCAGCATCCTGTTGACGAAAATACCTCAGACGAAGAAGACATACTCTCGTCCTACACGAAATATCAATTAAAGGTTCCTGAACCCGAACCTGTGTTTCAAGAGAAGGTTGGAATTCAACAGAATGATCCTACATCTATCACAACATCTAAACCAATGATATACATTGATCTACCTTATATTCCTGAAATGGATGCTCAAAATCAACAAGATGCTTTTGAACCAGACCTTCGATGGTTAAAAGATCATCCATCAGATCAGGTTATTGGAAATATCCAAGAAGGTGTAAGAACAAGAGCCTCTTTGCACGAAAGTATGATGGCATGCTTCCTGTCACAAATGGAACCAAAAACCATAGAAGAAGCTCTAAAAGACCCTGACTGGGTAATAGCCATGCAAGAAGAGCTCCATCAATTTGAACGAAATGAGGTATGGGAACTTGTTCCGAGACCATCTCATCAGAATGTCATTGGAACTAAATGGGTGTTTAGAAACAAAATGAGTGAAGATGGGCTCATTGTTAGGAACAAAGCTCGTCTTGTTGCTAAGGGGTATTGCCAGGAAGAAGCTATTGATTTTGATGAAACCTTCGCCCCTGTAGCTAGATTGGAAGCTATTCGCATATTCCTAGCTTTTGCAGCCTATAAGAACTTCAAAGTCTATCAAATGGATGTCAAGAGTGCCTTCTTAAATGGACTTCTTGAAGAAGAGGTCTATGTTGAACAACCACCTGGCTTTGCAATCAATAATGAGCTTGAAAAGGTATATCATCTCAAAAAGGCTCTTTATGGCTTAAAACAAGCTCCACGAGCCTGGTATGATAACCTTTCATTCTTTCTTATCAACTGTGGCTTCACGAAATGAGTGGTTGATAAAACACTCTTTCGTATAAAAGATAATTATCATATTCTTTTAGTCCAAATCTACGTTGATGACATTATCTTCGGAAGCACGAATCCAATCTTGTGTGAAAAGTTCTCCAATCACTACAAAAAAATGCTTATATAGTGACGGATAATTTCCGTTGCTAAATTAGTTATGGAATATCGACAATTTAGCGACGGATGTTTAATTTTATTGTTAACTTGACATTTAGCGACGGATTAGCGATGGATTAACGATGAATATTGCGACGGAATATTTCCGTCGTTAAATACGTAGCTAATTTTTGCGGTAAATTTTGGCGCAAAAAATAATGACGAATTTGCGACGGATTTACGACGATTTTTTGCGAGTTGACTCTAAAAATTTTAATAATTTTAATTACTATAATCTAGCGACGGATTTATGAATCCGTAGCTAAATTTAGCGACGAATTATTGATTCCATCGCTATATAGCAACGGATTGACAAATCCCTCGCTAAATATAAATGTTAAAAGACGAGATTTTTTTTATCTTAGCGACGGATGTAATAATCCGTCGCTAAATATAAAAGCTGAGATTTTTTACATTTTAGCAACGGATTATTGAATCCGTCGCTAAATATACAAGTCAAATACAGAGTATTTGTTTTCTTTTTACATTTTAACGACAGATGTATTGATCTGTCGTTATATAATGACTTTAACCCTAAATTTTATCTGAAGATCAATCATTCTACATATCTCTATTCATCGACTCCATCTCCATCGTAGTCTCTCTTCGCCGAGTATCGTCCATCGGCTTCCCTCCCCTGCTATAGCCATCGCCTATTGCCGCCCATCGGAGTTCCCTCCTCCGCCATAACCATCGCCACCTGCAGTCGTTTTTCATCCTAGACAGAACCGTTGTAGCCTGGGTCCTGACAATGCGTGGGTCTTCCTCGACTACTCCATCTTCTGTTGCTTCATCTCCTTAGTAGTCGCTGACTGCTTACTCGGTACCGTTACTTCCTACGTTCTGGTTAGTTTCTATTCTCCTAATCTTAAACCCTAATTCCTAAATTCCTAATTTTATAAAACACAAAACTGAGGTGGTTTCCTTCACGCAATATACTATCTGCTTCCTTCACTTACATTTACCCCATTTTTGGCATCTTCTTTGCTTGGATACTTGAAATCACTGCCTGGGTATTTGGTCATTTGGATATTGTTGATTAATCTGTTTATTTCTTATGGTATTGTTTATTTATTAGTTTGTGCACAGTCTTTCAATTGGGTTTCATTTTTCTACTTGTTATGCTGGAGTTGGATTTCAAATTCTTGTTATGCTTTTTGTTTTTTGTTGTTCTATTTCATGTTATTTATGATTGATTTAGCTCAATGTTATCTTAGGAGTATTATCTGCCATTTGATTGTTTTTCATATGTAGGATTGATTATACAAATCACTATCAATAACTTAAAATTTGTAGCTTTATTTAGCTTTAAATTTTTACTTTTCAGAACTGAAAGGGTAATAGTAGCTATTTTTCATTCTTTAATTGAAGCTTTAGGACTCTCTAGATATAATTAGCTCCAATGAGCTTAATTTTTCTTTTCAGAACTAGACATGTAGTAAAGCTATTTGTTTCTTATAAAACATACAAACAACTTTATTTAGCTTAAAAATTTTTCTTTTGAGTTATGTAGGGATTTATTGTTCTTTTTCCTTCCTTTATCTATTTTAATTGTAGGAAGTAAGGTTTGACTCAGTTCTGGCACCATACAAGGTATGTAATCCTTTTAGTGAGGTTGTTTCCAACCTTTTTCTTTTCTTGTAAGAAATTTTTGTAAGAGGAAAAGTATAGTAAGAGGAAAAGTATAGTAAATAGTTCATTGAACTTGATTCTTTAATATTGTGGTCTTCTTCTCTTCTCTTTGAGACCATACATGCAATGCCATATCAATATCACAGGCACTGGAGGTTGTTGATGTTAAGCAGCAGACACAGATGGTTTCAGAACTTGATGGTTCTATTATGAAGTGTGTTCGTGATCAGAATGGGAACCACATGATCCAGAAGTGCATAGAGTGCGTCCCTCAAGCTTTATCCACGCATCCATATGGGTGCCGTGTCATTCAGGTTTGGACAGGCTTTTTCTTTCTTATTACCCTGACATCCATTGCCTCATATTCTGATCTACTTCGTTTACTTTTGCAGAGAGTCCTTGAGCACTGCGATGACCCTGAAATGCAAAAGATTATCATAGATGAGATCCTGCAATCTGTGTGCACTCTAGTGCAAGATCAATATGGGAACAATGTCATTCAGGTATTTCAATTCTTTCTTGAACTAAACAGTATCTTTTCTCATCTAAAAGCTTTGCTTATTGTTGTCTCTCATGGTTCATTCTTGCATTTTTCTTTTTTTTTTTCTTTTAATTTTATGCTAGAATAATATTTTAATCTAAAATTAGTTATGACTGGGAATGAATATAAAACAATTATTTACAAGATTTCTTCTTATTTCAAAAAATTATTTCAACTATATAAAATAGGAAACATTTTTAACTGCTTAGTGAAATAGGTATAAATGAATTTTGTGAATTTTGATTATGCTGCACCAATTTTTTTATTAATATCATTGTAACATAAATGCAGCGATGAGAACTTTATGTGTTAAGAGCACAAAGAATACTTGAAGACCATTATGGACTAAGTGATGTTAAAGAGACAATACTAGAGTTCATAGTTGTTGGACAAGTTGTGCTGCAACAGCATTCTACATTGCTACCCACTTCTATTCCCCGACCTCCAACTGCAATTCAAATGACAATTAGATTGTGTGTATTAATACATTTGATACCGTTTCTTACAATGTAACACTTTGCAATGCCTACATTTTTGTTATTGTTATTGAGCTTGTGTTTTTTAATATAATATATTTTGCCCTTATATTATTAGAGTTCTATATTGTAGATTTAACACATGTATGTGATAATAATTAGTGGGTAGATTTTTTTTAAAAAAATATTTAAAACTTTAGTGGCAGACAAAAGTCGTAGCAAATGCATAGCTAATTACCTTTCAATAATAACAAATGGGAAATAAATCGTGACGTAACTATCCGTTGCTATATTTAGCGACGGATAATTTGTTGCTAAGTTGTAGTTAAATAGCTTCTATGTCTAAACAACACAAGAAAAGTTGTGACGGAATATTCCGTTGCTAAATTTAGCGACGGAATTTCCGTCGTTATTTCCTCACAAATTGAGTTATCAAATCGTCGTGGAGAGGAAAATAGCGATGGATTTTTTCATTTAGCGACGAAAATTTCCGTCGCTATATTTTAGCGACGGAATTAACTTGCATCGCTAAGATCTAGCGAGGCGCCTTTTTGTGACGGACAAATTCCGTCGCTAATTACTTTAGCGACAGATTTTTCCTATTTAGCGACGGAATCGGTCCGTCGCTATTTTCGCATTTTTTTTATAGTGAATCTTATGAAAAGCAAATTTGAGATGAGTATGATGGGTGAACTGAACTATTTTCTGGGTTTGCAATTCAAACAATGCCCAGATGGAATATTCATAAATCAAGCCAAATATACCAAGGATTTAATCCGTAAATTTGGAATTGATGGAAAAAGTTCGGTTAAAATTCCAATGAGCACATCCCTCAGAATGGATATTGATGATGAAGGAAAGGATGTTGATCAAACAAACTTTCGAGGTATTATTGGCTCTCTTTTATACCTAACAGCAAGCAGACCTGATATTTCATTTGCTGTTGGTGTATGTGCAGGATTTCAAGCCAAACCGAAAGAAAGTCACCTAAGTGCAACTAAAAAGATACTAAGATATCTTAAGGGAATGCAAAGTGTCGGTCTCTGGTATCCGAAAGATGGATCATTTGATCTAGTTGGATACTCAGATGCTGATTTCGCAGGATGTCGAATCGATCGAAAAAGTACCTCAGGAACTTGCCAGTTCCTAGGAGGACGAATTGTGTCTTGGTTTAGCAAAAAGCAAAACACTATTGCCACAAGTACGGCTGAAGCCGAATACATAGCAGCTGGAAGCTGCTGTGCTCAAATCTTATGGATGAGACATCAGTTGAGAGATTATGGCATAAATGCACGAGAAGTGAGCATAAAATGCGATAACACGAGTGCAATCGCCATTACGCATAATCCTGTGTTACACTCTCGGACTAAGCATATTGACATCAAGTATCACTTCATTCGTGATCATGTCAAGAAAAATGACATATCTCTTGAGTATGTTAATACTGATGATCAACTTGCAGATATACTCACGAAACCCTTGAGTGAAGCAAGATTCTCTTCTCTAAGGCATGAACTCGGAATGATTGAAATGACATAAAGCCAAGAGAATCAAATCTGGAAAGATTCTTGCTCTCGAAAATCGAAAGATTTGATCTATCCTCACACGCAAGGATCTTTATAAATGAGGTCCACTACAAGGATAAAATTTCTCATCTAACGAAAACTGTAGTGTTTGTTTTTGCATGTGCAGGTATGAGTACGGGAAGAGAAAGAAACATTACGGAGGCACGAGAGGGAAAGAGTGAAATCCTCAGTGAGCCACTAGTGACTGAGCAACAGCTTAATCAGTTTCTTGAACACGCTCAACACATACGAAACCTTCTCCGTGACACGCCCGATAATGAGTCAAGAGAATCTTTCCACTCTGTTGGCAACCCCATTGGATATGTCAAAGAAAACAGTGTGCTGGAACTAAGTGATAGTTTTGACTACTCACCCTCAGGCACTCCTACCAAGATAGCATCCCCTCTCAAGTCCACCGCAAGCAGCAAGAAAAAGAAAGCCTGAATAACTTTGTTAGGCCACGGTGACAAGCTGTGATGTTATCATGTTCATGATCTTTTAGTTTATGACTTTATCTTTCGTTATCCTTTCAAAATGTTGTCAGTATCTAAAAGATTGTGTTAAGATTCGCACGTTATCTTTTGCCTATAAATTATTCTTCTATTTCATGAGCTTTACTCATTCACAAGTTCTTAGAAAAGGATAAAGATTGCAGGAAATGGACAAAGGGAAGGAAAAGAGCGATGAAGCTGAGAAAAGGGCTAAACGTCTAAAACATCATATGAAAGAAGCCAGCAAGCTACCGAATGCCACTATCATAAGGCTGGAGGAAGATGGGGAAAGATTCATCGTAACCTACTCCATGCCCAACTCAGCACCAAAGGAGAAGGAAACTCATGACAAATTGGTCAATGAGTCCAGGGCTAAGAAGGCATACTGCATGGAACAAGCCACTCGGCTTGCTAAAGAGAGAATTCTGATGATGGAAAGCTCTAATAAGCAAACATCTTATGAAGTTCCTCAACCTAGTGATCAACCTTATGAAGATTTCACTATGGTTCACTCTCGGTCCTTAACTCAGTCACCCGAACCCGCTCTCTCACTTGAGGAGTTGGATGAATATGCAAAGAAGGCAGATCTGACTGATGTGACCGAAGAGATGACTAGTCTGGAACTTCACGTGCCTTATCGTTTTCTCTAAGCTGTTGTATGTTGTACTTTCATGACTTGGAACTCTCTGCCTTTCACCCTAATGATCTAATAAATATGTTATCCTTTCGTTCTATAAATGAAATTCTTAATTGTGTTTAACTTTGTCTGTTTATTGTCAAAAACCACAGGAAATCTCATCACTTAATTTATTATGAGTTACATGACTTTTAAGCTCATTGAAGTTGGAGTCTCATAAAGAAACAAGTTAACAGTCAAAGTCCTGTTGGGAATTGATTACCTCTCTTGAACTTGTCTATGAGCATTTATTGCGACGTTGAATTTAATGTGTAACTGACACATGAGCTATGTGAATCTCTTGCTATAAAAGGAGGTGAATTCTTCACGAAATATTCATTCTTCTTTCCTTCACCATGGCTCCAAAGAAACCTTTCACTAGAGGAGACTCTCACAGGTTAAAAGAGGTTGCTATGCGTATAAGGGAAGAACAGGGTGATCTTTACCCTAGTAACAGTCCACAAGCTCCTGTGGACCTCCTCTCTGACTCAGAATCATCACTCCAATATGATGAGATGGTTGGCTTCATCGTTGAAAAATCTGAAAGTGAGGAAAAACCCTCAAAAGATCCTGCTCAGGCCATCCCAGACGATCCCAGCAAGTGGGTTGATAGAGATTACATGGCTTTTCTGGCTCAAGAAGATTTAGAGGAGAGATATGATAAGGAGGAAGAACCTGAATCTTCATCTGGCTCAAACTAACCCCGATCCGGAAAGTGGTTTAAGCAAATGCTGGGAAACTTGAAGAAGGCCAAAGGTGGACCATCTGAAGTCAAGAAAAACGAGAGAAAGAAAAATTGATCTTTTGTCTGTTGTGTCTTATCTTATGTACTCTCTTCTCTCGAATAATAAAGCTTTATTGGCTCTGGTTTCCTTTTGAATGAGACTTTATATGTCTTATCTATCATCTGTCTAATCTCGAATCAAGGACAAAATTCTTGAAAAAGAATATATTCCCTAAGCAGTATCTTGGTCAAGTCAGTTGGACACATCTTATGAGAGACTCAATCTCTCTATATAATGGACCCTCTCAATCTTCTATGAAATCACTTATCACTCTCTTCAACTCATGGATAAAGGGAAAGAAAAGGCACTCTCATCCGAGAGCTTATCTGAGTCTGGAAAAATGTCTCACCATGATCTCGGGAACTCGGTTGAGAAAGGTTCATCATCTGAGAAGGAACCTGAAATCTCAGAGTTCTATTCTCTTATTGAACTTACCCCTCTTCTAAAGCACGAAGAAAGATATCGTGCATTGTACTCTTTTGCTAAGGCCAAGGTGATGGCTGAACTAAATGACATGGAGAGACGAGGTCTCTCTAGAGAAACCTTGGGAACAGATCACGAGACCCTCAACGCTGAAGTCTTTGCTCATGAAATCCG